AATTATACCTCTGATTTGAATAGATAGATTCTCTACTTCCCCCCCACTTCTTTTAAAATTCACTTTCTGCTTCAAGCAGACACTGGGGATTAAAAAGCAGAATTATGAACTAGATTTTCTATTGTGGTGTACTAGTATCTGCAGTGAGATTATGCTGGGAGAGAACTTGGGACCAGGGAGTAACTTCGCTTTCGTTGGAAAAACTTGCCATGATAGTCAAGACTTGCTTCTAGAATCATAGACTAGTTTGGATTGGAAGGAGCATTTAAAGGTCATCTAGTCCAACTCCCCTGCAGTGAGTAGGGACATCTTCAACTACATCAGGTTGCCCAGAGCCCTGTCCAACCTGCCTTTGAATGTTTCCAGGGATGGGGCATCTACAACCTCTCTGAGCAACCTTGTTCCAGTGTTTCACCACCATCATTGTAAAAAATTTCTTCCTTATGTCTAATCTAAATGTACCCTCTTTTAGTTTAAAACCATTACCCCTAGTCCTGGTACCACAGGCCTTGCTAGAAAGTTTGTCCCCATCTTTCTTATAGGCCCCCTTTAAGTACCAAAAGGCAGTCATAAGGTCTCCCTAGAGCCTTCTCTTCTCCGGGCTGAACAACCCCAACTCTTTCCACCTTAGGAGAGGTCTCCAGCCCTGTGATCATTTTTGTGACCCTCCTCTGGACTCACTCCAACAGGTCCTTGTCTTTCCTGTGCTGAGGGTTCCAGAGCTGGACACAGTACTCCAGGTCAGGTACCACCAGAGTGGAGTAAAGAAGAACTTAAGCAGTCTGGCAGGGTGCTCTGTAGATTTTCTCAAAGGGATGCAGAGTCTTCCGAAAGATGACATTAAAATGTTTCATGTGACTCTGTGCCTCGTAACTTGAGAGGAGATGGGTTTGGGAAGGAAGCAAAAGTGAGGATTTAAAAAATTTTGGTCTTTCTTTATTTGAATCTTGAAGCCTAACTTCATATAAATTCCCAGTTCTGTCTGACATCTCAGGAAGTTTTGTCTGGAACTTCAAGAAAGCTGTAAGCTGGCACCAGTGGTCTGGGTTTTATGTGACTGCATTAGCAGGGTGATCATAGCACGGAGTGTGAAGGCAGTGATATAATTGTGCATCAGGAGAATGAGTTGGAGGAAGAATATTTACTATTTATCAATGTACTGTCTGCTACTCTTATGTTTCTTATTTAAAGCAGCTAGCAATGCTGGCTCGTCTCTTAGCTTTAAATGTTGAACAGAGATAGTGATTTATTGGATAACAAACAAAAACACCTGTAGTTTTATGTGAATTGCTGTGCTAATAGCACCATTTTGGAGATAGAATTTGGCGTGATTTTAGATCTGAATTTGAACCTTGTGTAGCATCATTCAGTTGCTCTCCCCTTCTGTTAAAATAACTTCAGACTACTTAGCACAATTCTAAACGTGATTAAGAAAGTCTAGAGTATATAATCCATGGTCCAGGAAGGTAGAAAATGATGGTGCTATTGCTTCCTGCTTTCATTATATTTTCATTGCTAGTACATAGCTCACAGTAGTGGAAGCTAACCTATCTTGAGTTTGTGAAAACTTGAATGTTCTGTATTACTTTGAAACTTTGCAGTGAAATCAGCAGTGAAAATTACTTCTATTTGAATATATGTTTAAAAGATTGAGAGGATGATAAATACAGAGAGATTACAGAATATATTTTCTTTTTAAGACATTCAAATATTAGATGTGTGGGATCTTCTTGAAACTAGTCTCATGCAAGAAGAGTATGTGTGAGAAAACAATTGTAGATCAATGCACACCCTTAAAAATAAGACCTATAAAGTAATCGGAAAACAGGGTCTAAAGTGATTTGAGGATTTTGGGAAGCATCCTAAAGATTCTTCTCCGCAGAGTGCCTCCAGTTTCTTAAATGCTGTTTGATATTAGCCATGTCTCCCTCACGTCATATTTTCTCTTTATATGCTGTTAGTTCAATTTGTAGGAAATTGTTTCGAATATCTCTTAAAAATGGGTACAAGTTTGGAAGTTGGATATACCCAAAGAGAGGGTTCATTGTTCTTGTTTTCTTATATGGATTTGAATCTTTTGTGTGCTCTAGAGCAGGCAAAACAAGAATACACACCCCCTTTTAAACTATACAAACAAACAAAAAAAAACCCACACACAACTTGGGGGCTATGTATTTTCATTCTGAGTTTCAACAGCACACGTTTGAGACACCTGGAGCTTTATTTTTAGTATAATTTTAAAAAGAGAATGAAAGTGAGGCGCAGAGGGAAAAAATCATAGGGACTAATGTTATGAGTTTTGATTAAACTTAGGAAACCAAAAAATCCAAACTTAAAGCTGACCATTTGGTCTGACACTGTCTTCAATGTCCATGCTGATCTTACTGGATGGAGTTTTCACTCCACTCTGTGTTTCTTTGCTTTTGTGTATTTCAGTCCAGCCTCTTGTGTCACTAACAGAGGGATTTTTTTTTCTTTTCTTTTGTGGTTTAATTGTATGAAAAAAATTTTCTGCTGTGTTCTTGGAGCTGTACAGATGGTTCGATGCCAAACATATTTGTTTACCGTGGTAATGTCTGAGTTGTAGTGTGCCAGCTAATAAAGGGATTTATTTAAGGAACAAGGTGAATGACTAAAACAGATGTGCCAGTTGGGTGAACCATTAAAAGAATGTTACTTCTCAGCTTTATGTAAAGGTTATTTTTAATACATTTCTGAGAAATCAAGAGTAGTTGCAAGGGTGTTTTAGGCACAGTTGAAAGCATCTTGTCCGTTTGCTTGGGGGTCTTTTCATGTGGGCTTTCAGACACATTAGTCTTTCACCTATCTTAGTGAAGAAGTTGCAAAGACAGCAGGTAGAAGTCCTGAGTTTCAACATCTGATCAAGTATTATAATGTCATCTTGGATTTTGTCCTGTTTATAAATTGTATGATTCTGTCTTTCAATTGTGAGGAAACCTGTGTTAATATTTCTGTACTACAATACAAATATGTGTCTTCATTTCATGGAAATTCTGGGTCAGCCTGCTGTAATAATACTAAAACCTTACGCATCTTTTCTCATGCAAATGTAAGGTACTCCCATTTCACTAGAAAATGAAGCACTCTGGCTGCTAAGCATTTTAACTAGGATTGATGTAAAAGTGTTTGAGAGAGAAGCTAAAACCGTGAATTAATGCTGTTTGCCCAAATACATAGTCTGGTGTACATCACATCATCCAGGTGACTTCCAGAAACTCCACTGATTCTGCTGTTGTTGATATTTTTGACTGGAATGTCTCCTCTTAGAAATTGACTTTTGTTTCTTAGATGTTGATCAATTTGTTTGGGAAGAATCCTGGAGGCAGTGGTAATACTAAAGAGAAGTTAACAAAAAAAGCAAAAGCATTTTAATAACATTTTTTCAACTTAGCTTTAGCTTGTTAGGTGTACAAAATATTTCCACTGAATTTCCATTAATTTAGGAGTTAACTTTTTTAATAAGTAAGCGCTAACTTGAAAAAAAAATAATCATTAATTCTGGTGCTTGTGTATGATTTGTTTTGAATTAAGCAAATGAGGGGCTACTTAAGGCACACACTGTACTAAAATTGACCACATACTTGTATGCTGTTTTGAATAACAGTAGATTTTAGGTACTTGTTCCTGAAGCTGTACTCAAAAAGATGAAATATGTAGTCTGCCTGTCTGTACCTATCTGTTGCTGTTTGTTGCCTCTTTCTTTATATTTGGCTTACCAGCTTTTAAGTCATGGACTTTATTTCATGTTCATGGCACTGAGCAGAAGAAAATCTGTGTTCTCTCATTTTTTACCTGTGTGACCAAGGAATGCAAATAGCGTATTGCCTCTTGTGCAGTCGTACTAGTGACAGTATTTCTGGTTTAGAAGTAGCCATTTGCATATGTGAAGCCTCTCTGGTATTAATAAAGGCACAATTTGTTCCTTCATTAAGAACAACTGAAATAATGGCTTTCTCTTTTTAGGCTAGTTGTGGTTTTGTTTAATCCTAGTACTGAAAAAAATCCAGAGAGAGCACAGAAATCAATGTTAGCATTTTCCATGGGTTCCCATCCAGACAAATTTATCAAAGGCTATCTGTTTGTAGGCAATGATTGTAATCTGATCTGATCTCATCTGAGCTTAAGTAATAATGAAAAATGTGCCCCCTGATTAAACATTGCAATTAAGGATTTTAGGGGGCTTGGTTTTGAGATGAAGCATTGATTTCATAGCAGTATGTTTGATATTAAATTGTAGAGCCATTGCAAGGCAATTAGATCACCTTTCTTGGGATTTCAGAGCTCTATTCATCTTCTTTCTTTAAAAACAAAGAAAAGGCTTCTTTGAATTGTTGCTTCCTTGGTTATCTGAGGTTTCGGCAGCATGTTAAAGCACTTAAAATACTAATCTGACAACACAGTATTATGGTGAGGGGGAGTGTCATGTCTCTAATTTGTGTCTGTGCACCAGTCCAGTAAGCACATGGCATTTCTTTCAGTCATTTTTGAGATACCTGCCCCATTAAGTGAGGATGGCTGTATTTATTTAAGAAAAAGAAAAATTAATGGAAGAAGTTTTTGTAAATACCTAGAGGTTCATAATACTTATCTCCTGTTAATTTCGACAAGAATAAGACAACTGAATCCCATAAAGTTAGCTCCTGCAAAGCTGTCTTGTTCAGCCCTAACTTTGTTTAGGATTAAGAACCTCTCAACAGGGTTAAGATTTAAAATGCTTAGCTGACCTGATCAACCTTGACATTGAACTGACTGAAACTTGCATTTTACATAGATTCCAAATGCTGTCTTCATTTTTGAAGGACCGTGTTTTGAATGCAAAGAGACCCAGTGTGACTGCATGTAAATTGAGTTAGACGTGAAAGAGGTTCCTTCCCTCCTTTGCTGGAGAGATACTGAATTGTTTTTATTTATCAGGTATGTTGAAGGCTTTTCATCTTATGCTTGGTTAATCATTTGTTTTCTTTCCTTCCACCATCCAGGCCATATACACCTATGAAAGGAGCCTTTTCCACTGTTTGGTTTGACAGGTATAAGATCTCTAATGACTGTCCAGAACACATTGAAAGTATTGATTCTATGTGCCGGGGACTTACAGACTTGATCAACGATGAGATTAAAAATGGCATTGCAAAGAATAGGATACTAATAGGTAAGAGAGGCTTATTTTTACTGTGTTTATTTTAATGGTTTTTAATTGTTAAGAAATCACCTACTTTGAATTTATTTGATCCTGAAGGCTTGTGAGCATACTTTGCAGCTGCCAAACAGCCTCTTCAGCAGCCAATCCTCAAGAATTATAATTAATCATTATTTAAACCTGTATCAGGTGGGGAATGTGGCTAACTGTAAGCAGTGTCCTCAAAAATGTAACAGAATTGTTTCTATTGTAAATAGTCATTTGTAATTGTTATTTAAAATACAGAATGGGCAGTGATTTGCTTGAACAAGTACATATTTTTACTATTTCCTTTTAGCCTGTTTCAAGGATGGAAAAGTATACTTTCCCAAAATTACTTCTATTTTGGAGAGTGGAGATGTAGCATATAAATAATCATGAGCTTTTCCTTACTGCTGTGATCATTTGGGGTTAATCCATGGGGAAGAAGTTTGCATGTTACACATCACTAAAGATTAACACTTGATAACAAATGAATTATCAGCTGACATAGTTTAAATGTGTCTGTCTTTCTGTTCCTTTTAATTTCCAGAAATTTCCAGTAACTTTCACAGTAGTTCTGTGAAATAGATAGTGGGATACTGAGGCGCAGCAGTTGAGGGCAATGGAGTAGCCTGTGTCAAAGAGGGAATGAGAATTCATGAGTCCTTGGCTCCCTGTCCCATCCCTAGACCACAAACTATTTCAGGTTGGGGGAAAAAACTCTTCATGTGGGAACTTATAAATTTATGGCCAGCTGAGTCATGCCATTGAAATCTTGCGTGGTGGAGCCACCACCATTCGGCCTACATGTTTTCTTGGTCCAGCCCCATGTTGCTCTTTGAAGGCCTCTGTTTACTTTCCCTTTCTGGCTCATTGCCCTGGCTGCAGAATGCATTGTTTTGGATGGCTGTCAGCACAGTCTCTTTGATCTGTCTTCCCTGTGTTATACCTGCTGGCTTGGAAACAGCTGAAGAAATGCAGGTGCTTTTCCGTAGAGTGAGCTAGGAGATCTGTGTACAGATCCAACTTGCTACTAGGCTTTTCTCCTTTCTCTGTAGCCTTCAAAATTAGAACTAGTGAGACTGTGGAGTATGAAAGTTTTTTTTTTACAAGTCATAAGCAGAGTAAGGAAGTTGGTATGCACTGATTGTTTCAGCTCATAATTTCTTTGGAAGTCCCCGTCCCTGTGTGTTTGCATTCCTCATCTGTAAATCAGAAAGAATTATACTTTCTCACTCTTAAGAGCTTTCCTTTCAGGCTTCTAGAGTAAGACGCTGTTTCCCTGCCTCTGTGACAGAGGCTGCACGCATACATCCTCACAGTTGAATCTAATATTCCTGCAATAAGCAAAATAAGGCAGCCCTGAATTAGCTCCATCCAAAGTGCAGAAGAGGACCCATGTGGATGTGTAAGAAGTTCGCTAGTGGAAAATGAATTGTCACCTGTGACTGCACAAGATTAAGTGTTCTTCCACAAGAACTACATGCCTTCTCTGCACTGGTTTTGATGATTAACCAGCATGTGATGCAGTGGAGAATGAAGCATAAAGATCCTGTAAGGTTTCTGTGCATAAAGGTTGGGCTTAGTGTCAGTTTGAGTCAGCATAATGTGACATTCTTTGTTGTTTTAGATGGGACTTTGTGTAAATAATTGCCCATCTTCTGGCATTGTTTTTAACAGGAAATTTAAGAATTCTGTAAGGCACCTGGCAGCTTTATAGCAGTTTTGATCAAAAGAGGAGGGCCAAGGTTTAGTTATGAAAATATAGTCAGTATATCTGCACCAAACCGTAATGTCCACTGGAAAAGGAGAAATGGGTGGCCTGAAATTTTTCTGAGTTCGGCAGAGATTGGTATACAGGAGATAGTGGAAGATATGGTCACTTGCTTAGAGTGTCAAAGAACTAAGTCCTGTCAGATCATCTTAGATTTCTCTTTGAAAAAGTCAAGAATATCCGTCTGGTACAAGAAGATGAGTCTTGAGGTAACAGGTTGAGAGCAGACAGTGGATTTGGGACTGCTGGTGCCATAGCGTTGGAAGAGGCAGCCTGCTTGGTGTGAAGGGAAAAATAAGACAATTATAGCAGAAGAAACCACGGTGAAATTCTGCTATGAATATTTCCTCGGTGCATTCAGTGATGTTGAGTCATGTTGGAGATCCATAATGGGAATATTGGTATGTATGTTATTATGGAAATTAGAGACAAAATAGTTGAGAGAAGAGACTGGAGGACTTGGGAGTCTGAAGAGCAGTGGAGGCCTTTTTCAGGTAGGTCACGGAAGCCAAGAGAGCAGACAGTTGCATGAAGAAGTAGTTACAGGGAATGAAATGGTTGTTAAAGGGTTAAGGAGAACTGGGTTGTGGGACTGTCTGTTTTGTAAGGAGTGGGCGTTTTAATGAGTGGAAAGAAAATGAAATGAGTATGAGGAGGGTAACAAGACTGAAGGTTATAGTTTTATATGGAATAGCGGACTAGAAATTACAGGCTGAGGATGAGTGTCAGATATTGTTAGATGAGGACAAGCGAGGTGTTAGGCAAGCAGGAAGGTGGGTAGCTGCTGACAGCTCAGAGGTGTGGGTTAAGAAGGCAAGATCTGAGGGGTCACTCTACAAAGGAGAGTGAGTGGGAAGAGAGGGGAAGCAGGAGCAGGGGAGCAGGCTCTCGAGCAGTGGAAAATGAGAAGCCCAGCACCTGGTGTTCCAGGGGATGATTCTCCTTCTGGAGCCATTCAAATTTTCCACAAGACTCAAGATTGTGGGTACAGTAAGATCCTTTGTTCTGAAAGAAATTATGGCCTGCACTGTTTGTTTTGGTAGCACAGTTAGCTCCGAAATCCGCAAGTGGCTGCTTGTAGGGCAGAACTCTAAACCTGGAGATGGAGTCCAGGTTGTGCGATGCCACTCCTTTTTCTATATCAAGAAGAATATTAGTGCAATCTTGTTTTTGACAGCTGCTCTATGAATCTGCTTCTAAAGAATTAAATTACTTAATTTACTGGAGGTAAATAAAGTTTCCAATAAAACCTCCATATCAATTTAGCCTAACAACCAGCACACAGTAGTACACGGCTCATCTACTCATTCCTATTTCCTGACAGTTTCATGAGTCGCTTTCCTATTAATACAGAAGTCTTTTGAAGGAAGTAAACCTTAATGAATCAGAAGTCTCTTTATCCTGACCTTGGAGGAGGAAGGAAGGGAGACTGACTGCAATATATAATTATTCAAAAATAATTATATCATCCCCAGAATTTGATAATGGAAGTCACTTTTTAGCCAAACATTCTTGTTGAGTTACTCTTACTGGTCTTACTGGCTCAAGCACTTCTTGCAAATAATCCTGTAAGTAGGTTTATATTGACTTTGGAGATGAAAGAGGATGATAAAATTAGTCAAATTCTGACACTTGGTGCTTTGATAGTGTCCTTTCTTAAAATTCATTGCTAAATTAGCTAAACAAGCAAATAACCACAGTTTGAAATGTGGGATAATCATGTCTATTTAAAGCTGAATTGGTTTTCCAGGTGGTGGTGGTTTTGCTTTGTTTTGTTTTCTATTTAGTTTTGTTTTTATTTTTTTTAACTGCTTCCATAGTGATAGTGCACTATAAAATAATTCCACTTGGGTGGAAACTGTCAGATTTCAACAATCTTATTCAAGAAAATGTTAGAAGCTCTTGAAAGAAATGGCCACTTCACATTTGGAACATTCTGATGGTGCTCACTTTAGTCACCTACACTTCAGTGAAAGGCAGCCTTTTTGTTCTCTTTTTTGTTCTTAATTTAGGGCTACTTTCCTACTTTTACAGATCACTTTTTGTGTAGTGTAGAAATGCTGATCCAAGCATGTTGGTCTCTGCCACCTGTAGTTACTTGTGTAAGCGGCCAGTGAAAATAAACTTTCCATAACAGTCCTGTAGATTTGACTGTATGCCAAAAAACACATGCATGATTCCTGACCCCTTGTACTGTAGCAATAATACAAGACACACAACCACTATTTGTTTATTGCTAGACTTCTTACATAGCTACTGAACCATGGTGGAAGTAACATGAAAGCTCTGTGTTTCTTGTAAATACTAGCATTTCCATCTCTCAGTGTGTGTGAGAATGGGATGGGGAGGAAATATCTTGGCTTTGACATCGCAGAGGAGGATTCTGTAAATATGGGAAGATTAAAAGAAAATCAACAATAAACCATGAAAACACTGGGCAAACTACTTCACCTATGTTCTTGGTATTGTGTATCTTTGGCTTCTAAGCCTTTTGCTGTCACTAATCCTATCTTGTATCTTCTGTCTTTTTTAGGAAAATGCTGTCTCTCATTTAAAGGCACTTACTACCTTGCTCTCTGAGTAAACTGATAGTTTTTATATTGCCATTTGTCACTGCAATTGAAATTAAATTTCTCTTTCTGTGCCACCAATTACGTGGCTTTGTGGTTTATCTAAATTATGCCTATGAGATGCTGGGCTCAAAGCAATACTGTTAGTCCATACCCCCCATAGTACCAATATGCATTTCATTAATTTTCAGTGCATCAGTGTAAATTTGCCTTGTGTTTGTACTTTGTGGAAAATGTTTGCTACTCTTGTTTCTTTGCACCTGAATAGGCCATTTATTTTTCTTTTGAATGTGTACTACTGTCTTTACTTCCTGATGTGCAAGCAAGAGACCTTAACAAAGGAATGTCTGTTTCCTTCAGTAGGAAGTACAAATGCTAATAATTTTAACCAGAGAGTAGGATCCACCACTTGTCACCTTGTTTCCCAGCTCTCGACAGTGTCAGTATTAATGTATCTAGAAACAAAGGTCTTTGAAAGGCGGTACGTTCTCAGTTTCGATCTGCATGGTGAATGACAGACTGAGCAAATGATAGTGAAGATTAGGTGCGAATTAGGCTCACAGCAGTAAAACCAAAAATAATTCA